ATTGCGATAACCAACTTTGGTTGATGCGGGTAAGAGTATCTGTGAGCACAAGCACCACCGTTTCTTTTTTCTTCACTTTGTTGTTAGCCTGATGCTGATTTGTTCTAAAATCTATTAACATTAGCCAAACAATCCTCAGGATTCTGCTAACTAAATATTTCATGGTAATGTGTAGCACAGCTCTGAATTAAATTGGAGCTTTAGAGGCATACTCTGTTATTTTGGATGACGGATAATGTAGAGTTTGCTGAGTTTGGCAGAATGGATTTTCAAGTTAGTTTTGTGTTATTTATTGCTGTATATGCACTAATATTGTTAGATGTTGCATTCTGTTAAAAGGGAAAATTAAATTCGGCCTATTCTGTATATTTGTTTCTCAATATATTTTAAGTTTTTATTATCCTTTTGTTTTGTCTCTTTGATTGTTTTTACTAAAAGAAGTAAGTGATACATCTTGCCTTTTGTTCTAGTTAGTGATTTGGGGTGCCAATTTGTTTTAAGGGGACTAAGGAGGTTGAAATGGCGGCGATTTATGGGGAGGAGAACTGATGCAGAAGATGAGAAGAAGGCTGTCGGGATGCCGAGCTTTGATCCTCAGTTGCCAATCTCAAATGCAATGTACAGTTCTCCTTCAATCACTTTTTGTATACAGTTTCAATTTAACTTTTCATTCATTATTCATCTTTCAACACTGGATTTTTTTGTGCCTAATCTGCTCTTCTTGTGTTTTTGTCTAATAATAAGTATATAACCAATAGTAGGTTCAAGAACTTGAACATGTTTTGAACATGTTTAGGGTGTCTTGTACTCACATCAGAAATCATTTCTAGTGGTTTGGTACTACATTGCCAACTTATTATAAAAAATTGGTAGTCCAGGGTGCAATAACCAGGAGTTTCTTTGCTTGATTGGTAGCTTCAAAAAATTGGGATCGAATGATTTTGAAAATGTGCTTTCCAGATAATGAGTATGCAATGTAATTTGTTTATCCTCATAAAAGCTTTTCTTGCATTAGTTACAAATGAATGATTTTCATGCTCCATCAGTCTGCCAAGTTATGTAGCTTGCATGCTATTCTAAGTTTAATTGCTTTAGTAATTTGCTAAATGTTCTTGCAAGTGTTAAAGAGGAACTTAATTGCGAGAGAGAAGGGCAGGTGGGGCTGGGAAGGGTTAAGTACCTTGACATATAAATCAAACAAACTACATTATTTCTGGAGGCTGTTTTGCATTTTTCCTTAGTTCTAGGGTTGAAGATAGAAATGCTCTCAAGTAGTTCACTTGATAAACCTGTTTGCGCTTATCCCTTTCCTTTACTTCTCTCTCCTCTATGGGTCCAGTAACTGTAGTATACTCTCTATTGTTATATCTGGAAGGTCATTGTAAGATTTTTGGTCTAGATGTACGCGTTTACTGGTTTGAAGAACAAAATGCAACAAAATATTTGCTTGTTTGAACTGATGGTATGACTTCATGCTTGATGCTGTTTGGCTGTAAAATTGTGTAACTCAACAATTCTTGGTACTTATTTGTTGACAATTATGGATTTCATCAGTGTAGAGAGAAGCACAGTTCATCCTTACCGTGTTAATGATTTTGGGGTGTTCTTAGAAGACAGTGCTATTGACCTGAGTGTGGGTAAGTGTTGAGTAATCCAACTTGTAATGGGCTAATCTAAAACTGGTTTGTCATGCTCTTTCATCTATTAGGTTATATAATTGAATTTTATCTGCCCATAACTTTTTGGTGATCTAAATGTTTCATTATTATTATTTTTAATTGCGCCAAAAGAAATTCATTGGAACATTGTTATTTTGAAGAAAAATATAATCTACTGTTTTTGTACAGTGGTAAATTTCATTAACCACCCATCACCATCCTTTGATCTTAATTTGTCTAGTGTACTTCATATTGACTTATCGCAAAATGACCTGCTAGCCTTAAAATTTTAGGGGTGGTCCGGGCAAGTTATTTCGTGTAAAAGCACTGCTAGGGTGCAATATATTTTAGAACCAAGTGCCATATCGATCTAATTGCAACAATTTCCAGGAGTGGTTAATTTAGTAATGCTTTGAAAATCATCACAAGAAAAATCAGGTCCAATAGTTTTTTATGGAAAGAGAGTGGGAGAAATAAATCCAGACAATACTGATTCCAATGTATAGAAAACGATTATGGAGCTACTACTTCTTCTACCTTGGTTGTTGGCATTTGACAAGTATTTCAAATGCCATGAGTGATACCCATGGGACCCACAGTGAAAAAATAAGTCTATAATAAACAAAAAGAAAATTTCTAATCCATTGAAATGAATAACTCTGCATATGTTGTAAGAAGAAAAAAACAATTAGATTTTTTGAAAAGTTCAACCTGCTAGAATTAAAAGTGATAACCTGATGTGTCACTACAGGTACTGTGTTCAATTCAGCAAAAGAAAGTACTCAAGCAATCCCTTCTGACCGCCTCCATAGTGGCACTTTTGAGAAGGTGAATTTCTCAGATAGATGATATTTTGCCTGATTAGTTGCTTGCACTCATTTTTTCCTGTTCTCTGACTTTGCAGAAACAGTCTACTACTTCATTTAACATTAAGTCATCTGCTTCTCAAGTGGAGTCTCATAGATTACCCTTAGAAAAAGTTCTACAGTCAAACCAGGTTTCTATACCAATTGTTGTTGATACAGAAAACTGGGGGGAGAATCGGAGGTTGCCATTAGAAAAGGTTCAACAGTCCAACCGGGTTTCTATACCAAGTGTTAATACAGAGAACTGGGGGGAGGCCAATATGGCTGATGGTAGTCCAAGGACTGATATCTCAACAGATGCAGACACAGACGATAAAAACCAAAGGGTGCTGTTTTTTCTTGCCCTATACTCCTGTGAAATGATAGTGTGAAGTCAGTTCTGTGACCACCTTGTTTTCAATAGTTTTATTTTATTTTGTTTTTTTAACTAGTACGTGTAATCAAGAATCCTAGTTTACCATTCTTTCCTTCTGGATCCCAACATTCACTTCTTCTCTTGCCTGATGAAGGCAGTGGCATTGTTCATTCTGCTCATTAGAAAACTTACCATATCAATTCCATTCTAACACTTAAAAGTCATATGTGTGCAGTATGATAGAGGTCAATCTACTGCTCTCGTGGCATCTGATTCCAGTGACAGAACAAGGGACAAAATGGACCAGAAGGTGAAAATATTATATGTTAATTGCATTCACTGCATACTACTCTATCTAGTTGTAGTTGATGATCGATTGTTTGATTACACTTCGCAGACTCTTCGCAGGCTTGCTCAAAATAGAGAAGCTGCAAGAAAAAGCCGTTTGAGGAAGAAAGTATGTTTTTCATCTTTTTCTTATACTTGTTTTCATTTCTGACGAACCTTCTCAGCAACAGCCTGTTACAGCTTATGTGGGGGGGGAGTGCATCCTTTGAAAGGACTTTTTATGATGCAACCATGCAAGATTTTTTTTTCATGCAATCTTCTGATTTGTCTATTACACATTGCATAAGTGCCTAGTAACATTGCTTCTAATAATCTGACTTTCATCTTTTGTTGTGTCTCCATAGGCATATGTCCAGCAGCTGGAGAGCAGCCGCTTGAAGCTTACCCAACTGGAACAGGAGCTCCAACGGGCACGACAGCAGGTTAGGCTTGGCTAATCCTATTTTGTACATCGTGTAATGATCTCAGTTCGTTCATTAAGCATCCTTGTTTTGAGGTGTCTCATTTCAATGAATTTCTCTCTAATAGGGAATCTTCATATCAAGCTCAGGAGACCAAACTCACTCAATGAGTGGAAATGGTAATGCCAATGTTTCTTCCATATGCAAGATTCAATGTTTGAAATGTGTGCATTTTTGGGAATCAACTAGATGTTTGATATCTTGGAATTGTTGGATGAGTTCTACATTGTCATGACTGCTTGACTGAACCAATGATCATGCTGTGAGCTCTACATTTATACATTGAAATGACCTTAAATTCCGTTGGCTATTTTCATTTCCAGGGTTTAAGCTCACACACATTTGCATGTTGGCAAATTAGATGGTTAATTGTATCTTTTTGCAGGGGCCATGGCATTTGATGTAGAATATGCACGATGGCTGGAGGAGCAAAATCGACAAATTAATGAGTTGAGATCAGCTGTCAATTCTCATGCTGGTGATGCAGAACTTCGTATTATCATTGATGGTATAATGGCTCACTATGATGAAGTTTTCAAGCTGAAGAGCAACGCAGCCAAGGCTGATGTTTTCCATCTGCTGTCTGGCATGTGGAAGACACCTGCAGAGAGGTGTTTTTTGTGGCTTGGTGGCTTCCGTTCATCTGAGCTCCTCAAGGTGAGTTTATTGTGCTTTCAATGTTTTCCACCTGCTAGGGTTAGTCCAGTTCTAGTAGAGGTGGTATTACAAGAGTATTAAAGTCAGTATCATAATCTTGCACAGATCAAAAGAATCGCAAGAACCATGTATTTTTTGTTCTTCTTCATTTAATTCATTAATAAAGAGTTGATATTATCAATGCACTAGCTAGCAGGGTGAGGTGTAAAACTGAAAATTTGTATATAAAAACAAATTAATTGGGAATTTCGTGGGAGAGGGCTTGGGATTGTAGATGAGTCTCATACTGTACTGCTAAATCCATTTGCTGGTAGTTAAAAAGTTCTTTGGTTCGCAGGATGCTGTACTTGACAGTATAACGTTTAATCTGTTAGAGAAATATAATGTAAAAGCATTCATGGAGCTTCACTTAGTTGAGGGGTTCTTTGACTTATCCCTAACAGCAAGTTCTGATATAGGATTCATCCCGTTTCTATTTCACTTGTTAAACTCTGATCTGTAGCCCAGATCGGTATGACTCGGTTTCTTCTTGGCATCAATTCTATTTAGAATTAAAAAAGTGTGGGAAACAAAAGAAAAGAAAGAAGATTTGGAAATTGTATTAGGTTGTGAACTACTTGATATTTGGAAAAAGAAATGATGAACCAACACTAAATATCATAGAAGTTCTAAGGTGAACTGCAAGTTATTATAACTTATAAGCTCACATAGGCCTCCCTTGTTCTCAGCTCTGAGACTGAAGTTATTATAACTTATAAGCTCACATAGGCCTCCCTTGTTCTCAGCTCTGAAACTGAAGTTTTCTGTCCTCAGATATTGAAGGATGTTATCATCAAGTTTTGGTATCTTGTTACCTATCTTCCGAGCATGCTGTTAAGGCTGTTTATTTCATTTGTACCATTTGAGTTTCCCTAGCAAGGCTGTTTGTAAATGTTTTGTTTGTATTGTAATTTCGTTTGGTGGAAAAAAGTGTTTCAGTAACATTATATTATTCAGACATGTACACGGGCATGTTTATTTGAGTGGACAGATATATATCTGTTTAGCATGAAATTAATCTTAGAAGACAAGGTTGGGAATGAAGGCCGCTGGAGGGTGGCATCATTTAACCCTGGATGTATGGATGGCTTTCTTTTGTACTGCAGAGCGGAGGGGATTTTCTTCCTGTACCTGCTTCTTTTTTGTGTGCATCGCCTGCTTGCAAAAGCAGGCATAATTGTTTGAGTTTAAACCATTTGTTTGCACTGGTTTGTGCATTTTAAAAGGGAAAGCGCACAGCCTCTCTTGGTTAAACCTGTTGACTGGCATATACCATGTGTATGTCAGATTTCATTCTCTTGTTAGTTTGATGGATTGATTTATTTTTTACAATTCGTTTCTTAGGGTCCCCTCTGCTCCTTTCAGAACACAATACCTCCCATTTTCTTTTTTCGTTTGAGAACATGATAAAATTTTGTGATCATGGTTGCAGCTTCTTATGAATCAATTGGAGCCTTTAACAGAGCAGCAGTTGGTGGGCATTGGCAACTTACAGCAGTCTTCCCAACAGGCAGAAGATGCATTATCTCAAGGGATGGAGGCATTGCAGCAGTCCCTCTCTGAGACTTTGTCCAGCGGATCTCTTGGCTCCTCAGGTTCATCTGGAAACGTGGCAAATTACATGGGTCAGATGGCCATGGCCATGGGAAAGCTAGGTACCCTTGAGGGATTTATTCGCCAGGTATGCTTCTAATTGTTTTTATACTTGTCGTCTATAACATAGAGATTCCATAAAACCTTGAAATTTGTATAATGGTCAAGAGTTCATAAATCAGCTACAGTTTCGAGTCTTTCTGGTTTGCCATTTCTTTCTTTGCCCCTATATTCCTAGTATCATGTCTCAAAAGCACTTCTCTTTTAATGGGGTTTTATAAAACCAGGCTGACAATTTGAGGCAGCAAACCTTACAACAAATGCACCGAATATTAACCACCCGTCAGTCTGCTCGTGCTCTCCTTGCAATACATGATTACTTTTCCCGTTTACGCGCTCTTAGTTCCCTCTGGCTCGCCCGACCTAAAGAGTGAATAGGCTCTGCATCTGAATACAAGTTGCGCAGGAAAACCCTAAAAGCCACATTCCTCATCCAGCAGGGCTTCATGTTTCTAGTGTTCAAAATGCCTTTTCTTTTCTGCATCTCTCCTGTTGTAGTTTCAGATGTATCATGGGACTGTTCTTTCTCTCATAGTAATCATCTTAGAGCATAGAAGTTGAATCTTTCAAGTACAGTATGCATCAATGTTAATTATTTATAGTCTCATCCTCCTGTTTTCGTTATCCCCAGTACACGAGAATTTCAAAATGAATTTGAAAGTTTGGACACTTTCATTTTGAGTTAATTTATTTATCTTGGTTAGCCTGCTCTCTTTCGTTGAAGCCTGTATATTTTGCCTTAACAACATAATTTTTATTTGTTACGCATGCAACTTCAGCAACAAATCCAGCCCGGCAAACTTCATCTTGACCCTTGCAATCCTTCACCTTTAGTTCAAAAAATTTGACAGTCTACTCTTGAACCTGTCACATGAAACAATCAGTGAAATTTATGAAGTTTTTCATGGGCCATTGTATATGCTTGTTCAATGTTTATATTTGTAATCTAAAAATATTTAGGGTTTGTGTGGCGAGTAAATAGAACTGAACATAACGAGATTATTCTTTAAAGATGGAGGGATAGAGATCGGGATATTGGACAAATTATTTTCTTCATGTGTACCAAATGCTATCTTAAAGGATATGAAGCATGTATTTGACACTGATAGTTTTAATGATAAATTTAATTAAAATTATAAGTTATAATTTTATTTAATTAAGGTTCAAGAGAGTTTTCAATGGGATTTGGCAAAACTATCCAATTGTTTTATTAAAAAAAAAAAAATTGAATTTGTGGTTGAGGCGAAAGTAAATATTCGAGTGATTTTTTTTAAAAAACTTTATGTACATTTGATGATATCTCTTAACCATGGAATAAAAAAAAAAATCAGTATTAGAATGAAGTGACATCGTAGTTCATAATTCAATATTGTAGATGAAGGAAATTTTCAGGCTGATCATCAAGCCATTCCATGATCTCATTGCGTTGAGCAGCCTAAGATATGAAGATGTCAATATAGCAAGTATATCAAAGGACTCTGCCATGGCGCTCGAATCTGACCCTGGAGCTTAACAAGAAGTCCATCAGTGATCAGAAAAACCCTAACTAGCATCCACAAAACACTTCCAGAGGCACAGGAACCGATTACACTCTGCCGCCCATGGCAATACCATTAATTAAAAGAAGTTCATGTTTTGTGGATTCAAAAGGCTGGCCAGCAACCATACTTATTCCAAGAATATAATGCATTAACAAGTCAATTTCTCATGTTGCTGAGCTTCTCAGTTGAAGTTGCGTGTTAAACCACCTAAAATCTACTCACCCGCCACCATGTCTAGCACCGTCGCCCTCTCTGTCTGCAACAACATGCACAGCCTCTAAACATCTCTCCTCTTCAATAAATCCCTGTGTCCATAAATCGCTCTTTGATCTTCTAATTTGAGCAACTGGGGTGACAAGGTTTTACAAGAAGTCTTTTGTATTGTGAAAGAAGTATCTCAATCTAATGTTTAAACGACTCTAAAATATAATTTATAGTTCTCTTTACTATTCTCACTTGAGAATGTCAATTTAAAATATGAATAGGGAATAAAGTTATTTTAATTATTAATTTTGATTTAACTATATACATTACTTTCAAAACTAAAAATATACGTTACCATATCATTTAATAATTTTTCAAGAGTTTATTTTCTCATTGACATTTTAAGATTTTAGTAATATTTAGAAAATGAGGTACGTACAAGAAAGAGAAGATGTTATAAAGTGGGGGTGGAAATGTAGGGACTAAAATGCACTTTTCCAAATAAAATGATCTGTGCTCGAGATTTATCCAATCACAAGTTTTTTTCAGAAACTACAATCAAAACCATACCCTAAAATACAAAAATCTAAAGCATTCCACATCTATCCTATGCAACCCAAATATTATCCATTCTAACATTCACTTCAGAAACCGAAGCAGAAAACATTAAAACTACTCTCTTTTTTTTTACTTGTAGTTAATGCATTCAGAGAGTCAGTTCTTCCCTCCCCGCCACCATTTTGAGAAGGAATACAAAAACACATCCATGTAGGTAGGTCAAAGGTCAGCAGTCAATTAAGATGATGATATTGTCCTAAAGAAATGTTCCTCTTGAGCTCAACCTCTACATTTCTCCGCATTCTGCAATAACACATGGCAGTTTTGGTCGGTTGTTGGGTCCTGTTGCCACATTCTCTATCTTTCGAATAACCAAAAGAACATCTCCAAGCACCCTCTATATAACGACAGAAAACGAAATCATAGTGAGGTGGAAGACACACAGGAATCTCAGATGCTGGTAGAATATTAAAGTTTTCGACTGATCAATTACAAGGGCAAATAGAAGCAAAAAAGAATGTTAAATGAAAATCTGAAGACGTACCCCAAATACAACATGCTTATTGTCAAGCCAGTCCCATTTTGCACAAGTGATGAAAAACTGCAAGGAAAGAAGGTTCAAATCAATATAATCGTGAGTGCTGTGTGTGTTTACTTAGGGATAAAACAGCAGAATGTATAGGGAACTTCTTGAGAACTCTCATTCAGAGCAATGCTGCTAAATCCTAAGCCATGTTTAATTTGCCTGAAATTAGGAATAGAATGGGGGGCATTTCCGTTCCATGATCTCTGTCAATTGGTTCGTCAATAACAAAGATTAGGATTTCATAAGAAATGCGATATTTTATATGAGGGTTCCCATTCCATTCCCAATTCTTGAGTAAACCAAACTTGTCTGAAGTAGTTAGCGGAGCTAAAAGGGGGGAATTAAAGCACAGAAACTGCATGCTTAGCTTTCCAAGTGTAATCATATCTGGGAGTAAATGTAGGCAGCTGAGGGGGGGAACAACTAAGTGCAAATTTAAAGATATGACGCACAAGCAGCTAGCTTAATGGAGCAATATGAAGTTAATATATTCACCACCATGCTTACTAAAATTTCCAATCCACCAAACTGGAAAACTTGAAACGCCAGAAAAAGGTCCATTCAAGGCTTGACACATACACCAATTTATTTCATACTTTCAGAACATCTAACAGCCGAGAGAAAGAGAGTACCTGACAACCATTGGTATTTGGCCCACTATTTGCCTGCAAATGGAAAAATGAGGCCTTCATTGTTAGTGATAAAGCACAATCTTCAAATTCAAATGGTAATGATTAGTTGATAATAAATCTACATTCACTTGCATAGATATTTTGGGAGCTTGTGTTTAGAGAATTTGAGGATTTTCATTTGGAGTCATTTAGAGACTGGACACTGATGAAGATGAAATCCTTGTCACAACAAAAAATCTGGTCATGATTCTTCAAGTTACCCCATCAAAGTTAGTATTTCTACCAATGGTGTTCTCCGAATAAACATAATATGAAAAGCATCATAACGAAATGTGAGACATCTCAGAGGTATTGTTGGCTCTTACACCTTCACTCATATCGACCTCATAGATTCAAAGCAATATACGACTGTAACAAGGACTTTAATCTTGTGAGTTTTTATGAAGCCGGCAACAAGTAGTCGAATCACATGGGTAATCAAGTACCATCACCCTGCAACCACTAAATGGAAATGCAACCACTACCATCACCCTGCAAGTCAAAAATTCCATTAGTAACTAATCAAGTAAACTGAAAATATTAAATAATTATATAAAACTGAAAAAAAGAAAAAACAAACCTTGAGAAAATCACCAGCTTGAACCATAAAATCCTTAATCACTCTATAAAATGAAATTGACATACCTTAGGTAATCCAGCTTTTCTGCAAAAAAAAAAATAATTCAAAATCAAATAAATTAATTACATGATATGTGATTAATTATTAAGAGAGTGATTTTTTTTTTACCTGTACTCGCCTTTACAAAACTGCCTGCAAGATTTATAAAATACATAATTCAAAAATTTAATAAAAATGAAAACGAGAATTAATTTTGATGCGAGGAAGTGAAACGGGGGACTAGAAAAACCAGAAATTTTCGGCGGTTTTCGGGGCAATATCAGCGAAGAGCTCCATTTTGATACGACCAGCAGGGATGGTGCCGATTGTAATATCGAAGAAAAAAATTGGGTTTTTAGGGTTTGGTGGTCTCAAGTGCCACTCTACACTCCCTCCTCCTCCTGACGCCATTGAAGCACTGAACTTCTCTAGCTCTCACTGTTTCGCTTGCTCACCTCTCTCTCTCTCTCTGTCTTTTTGGATGAAGTGTTTTTTGGGTGTACGTGTTCGAAGCTGATTGGTCTTTTAGGAAACCAAATGGTTGTTATTGTAGATTTAGATGGTTGTTTTGCTACGCGGCTGCAGCTCAAGTACCATCACCCTGCAACCACTAAATAGAAATGCAACCACTACCATCACCCGGCAAGTTAAAAATTCCATTAGTAATCATCTAGATGGTGGCTAAATAATAAAAATTTGGGACTAAAAAGTTTATTTTCTCTGTGATCTCAGGTTCGAGTTCTTGATTGCTCATATGATGGTCTCTAGAGGCTTACATGATCGTTAATTTCAGGGTCTGTATGATTAGTCGTAATACATGCAAGCTGGCCCAAACACCAACATTAATCTAAAAAAAATTCAACACCAACATTAATCTAAAAAAAATTCCATTAGTAACTAATCAAGTAAACTGAAAATATTAAATAATTATATAAAACTGAAAAAAAGAAAAAACAAACCTTGAGAAAATCACCAGCTTGAACCATAAAATCCTTAATCACTCTATAAAATGAAATTGACATACTTTAGGTAATCCAGCTTTTCTGCGAAAAAAAAAATCAAAATCAAATAAATTAATTACATGATATGTGATTAATTATTAAGAGAGTGATTTTTTTTTTACTTGTACTCGCCTTTACAAAACTGCCTGCAAGATTTATAAAATACATAATTCAAAAATTTAATAAAAATGAAAACGAGAATTAATTTTGATGCGAGGAAGTGAAACGGGGGACTAGAAAAACCAGAAATTTTCGGCGGTTTTCGGGGCAATATCAGCGAAGAGCTCCATTTTGATACGACCAGCAGGGATGGTGTCGATTGTAACATCGAAGAAAACAATTGGGATTTTAGGGTTTGGTGGTCTCAAGTGCCACTCTACACTCCCTCCTCCTCCTGACGCCATTGAAGCACTGAACTTCTCTAGCTCTCACTGTTTCGCTTGCTCACCTCTCTCTCTCTCTCTGTCTTTTTGGATGAAGGGTTTTTTGGGTGTACGTGTTCGAAGCTGATTGGTCTTTTTGGAAACCAAATGGTTGTTAATTGTAGATTTAGATGGTGTTTTGCTACGCGGCTGCAGTTGCGTTTCATTGAAAACGCAGTTGGCAGCCGTTTGATAATGAAAAATAAATAAATTATTGTTTATGGTTTCATATGTTTTTTCTATTCAGAATATAAGTAATGAAAAATAACGAATTTATGTTTTTTATGCACTGTAAATACTAATTATACTGTTTATTGTTCATCTAATTCATGCTAATATACTGTTTATGTGAAGAAAATTGCATTGTTGATTGATAAACAGTGAAATTCTTCGTGATTTTTTATTATTTAGTGTATTAAATTTTTTAATATTTTTTTTAAAAAATATTAATTTAAAATAAATTAAATTTAATTGTATTATGATATAAATAATATTTTTTTTAAATACTAATTATATTGTTTATTGTTCATCTAATTCATGCTAATATACTGTTCATGTGAAGAGAATTGCATTGTTCATTAATAAACAGTGCAATTCTTCATGTTTTTTAATTTATTTAGTGTGTTAGATTTTTTAATATTTTTTTAAAAAATATTAATTTAAAATAAATTAAATTTACTAGTATTATGATGTGAATAATATTAATTTAAAATGAATTAAATTTATTCGTATTATGATGTGAATAATATTTTTTTTCAAAATACTAATATAAAGTGAATTAAATTTATTTACACTGTAATATTAATTTTATACATAATAATATTTTATTTATGCTAAAAAATTTATGAAAGCTGTAGTTTTTATTGGATGAATTTTGTATATAATAAAATTATAAATAGTTTAATGGAATAATAAAAAATATTTTATATAAAGTAATTTTTATTTCATGATGTAATGGGAGTAATTAATTCTGTAATATTTAAATTTAAAACCATTAATATTAATATATATTTTTTAAAATTATTTTATACCCTCAATTTCAAAAATATTCTTAACCAAACACATTAAATTATTTTTTCTTCGACTTCAATTTCAACCACAGTTTTAACCAAACATCTATTTTTTCAAACTAACCTCAATTAAAAATACTTTTTATAAAATAATTTTTTTTCAAATTACAACTACAACAGTTATCATAGTACCAAACACATCCTTGGACTATTCTAGTAAGGTAAAATCACATTCGATTCATATAGTATGGAAATTTTGTCAAATCAAGTCCTCTACTTTACTTTTGGTCATAACAATCCTTTAATCTTTAATTTTACCACTGATTGAATTTTTCAATCCTCTTGGACATGCGTACAAGTTCATCTAAAGGGAATAACAGCAAAGGCCGGATACAAGGACTCAATCAATTAGATCTTGAACTATGAGACTTGATTTGATAAAGTGCAATCTAAATTCAAAAGAGATCGATGACTAATTATCAACATTTGAGGGACCATTCATGAATTTATCCTATATCGACCTAAATCCATAGCACCGAACTTTTATCCAAGTTGAGTTTTAAATTGAATATAAAATCATTTATCTAATAAAACTCAATTAATCTAGTTGAAGTGATTCATGGCCCAATTAATTTGATAAAATTCAGATTTAATTCAGTCATGTCAACTCAAACAACAACACCATTTTAATAAAAATATTTACGCAAGTTAACTAGTTCACCTATAAGCTAAACCAATAATTCAATAACTCAAGTTTTTTTTTTAAAATAAATTTTAATAGAAAAAAATCATCTTAATTTTGTTAATTTTCAATTACGATACTGAATATTACACTGAATATTACATATAACTACGTTCCAAACTTTTATCTTATAGAAAATAAAATAACTTGCATTTTATTTTACAATTTCAATACTATACACTAGTTTTAACCAACACATATAACTTTTTAAAACCTATTTTTCTAAAATTACAACTATTTTTTTAAAACCTATTTTTTTAAAATTATAAACTTATCACAATATCAAACACATATGTTAATGGAATTGTCAAACTTTTCTCATCAACTTTATTAATTTAAAATCCATTATTGAAACTTAATGTTTCTATTACCCACTTGATATTATGGTAGTGTATGCTTTTCAAATTAATTTTTATTTGAAAAATCAACAAATTGTTTTTTTGAAGTATTCACATATGATTTTAATGTTTTATATGAAAATAAAAAAGTTTTTTTAAAATATTATTTTAATATATTTTTAATTAAAAATAATTTTTAAAAGTAACGATCACATCAACACAGTTTTCCCTCAAAGTCAGAACCATTGAGTAGGTCTCCCAAGTCCCAACCCTTTCATTTCTGCCCTTTCTCTATCCTTTAAGCTTCTATCAAGTCTAGCTTCTTCTATCAACTCGTTTTCTTAAATGATAATTTGTGAATACTTTAGGGACCGACTTTGAATTTTCTCTTGAAGAGTTTGTAAGAAAGGGAAGCACATTCCAAGCACGCAAGTGAATTGTAACTCATCACTTGTGAGAAGGCTCCACGAAACACTGCCAGCCCTCGCTCTCTCGCGCTTGCTCTCAAATTATGCGCACAGCACAAAGTCATGGCTAGCAACGACCAGCAGAACTCAACAAAGCAGATAAAGCAGTAATCGAGCAAGGATCTGATTCAGAATTCGAAGAAGAAAGCGAAGACTTGGACGACTGGGGAGAAGAAGGCCGACAGTGAAAGTGGAGGAAACGACAAGCCATTCATGTGAAGGAAGTGAGCATGTTTATCAGATAGAAAATCCTTTTGTTTTATGCCCTGAACTGTGAAAGTGGTTACTAGCATAATTTTCACATCTGCTCTCCTGCAGGTGTGTCTGTGGTGCTGGCTATCTTCCATGTAGTGGGAGGTGAGGAGAAAGTCCCGCGATAACTTTGAGTCCTTGACAGAGATGATGCTGAGCCTCAGCAGGTCCTCTTACTATCTCTGTTTGTTGACATTTTTGCTGCTGTGAATTTATTCATTGGCTGTTAGTCCATGGAGCAAGTAGGTAACTTGTTTTCTCAATCGCTCTTGAGGATGAAAACAAATGGTAGTTTCAGGGTGCTGGTATGGATCATGAGATGCTGTCAGGCTTGTGCTAGGCACTGGTAAATTTGCCCATTTTTTATATTATCATTGAGATTGGAGTTGCGAGATTATGGACAACCTCTCTCCTTCCTTACCAACATGAAAGAGGAATGGCAAGATTCTTGCTTGCAAGTGTTGCTTTTTGATAATCTAAAATTCTAAGTCATCACTTACAGGAAGTAATCTATTAATATGGTGGGTTTTATTCGCAATAAGAAACAAGATCTTCAACATTTCTGGGAGTAAAAAATGTACCTCGGAGAAGTTTCCAGGAACTTGAAATTTGAGTTTCCTTGCGTTTGAAGCAATTGACGAGGAAAAGGTTTCCCAACCAGTGTCATCTTTCCTTCTTGTTATAATTTGACCGTTTTATTTAAACGATATAATTTTGTGGCCAATCCAAATCCTTCTATAAAAAAAAGAGTTTTCTATTGAAAATGTATGCTTAATAAATCTCAATATCCACGTGACATTCCACCCACGGCTAAAAATAAAATAAAATGCTCCAGCAACTTTAGGGATGGAGATGATATTTGTCTTATAAAGGCATTAATCAACACTAGCATAGATTTAATATGAAAAAATGAACAAAAATGTAAGATATGCTGAAAAAGAATTCGCAATAACTACAACAAAACAATAAGAAGCTTATATAAGACGTATATCATGTTTTTAAATACAAAGTTGGTTATCAATAAAGTATTAATTTAAAGGTTAAGATATTATTATATTTCTATAAAAATAAAAATAAAAATTTAATCTTTAAAAAATATATTTATTGAAAAGGATAACTGCGAATCCTGAAGGAAATTAAAAAATATATTTATTGAAAAGGATAACTACTAACCCTAAAAGGAACTAATTTCACTTTTTAAAAGTATGTAAAAATATATTATTAAAAAAAATATATAACTCGTCGCATATTTAACTAAATAAGAAATAAATTTTGTTTGTATGTCCAATCTAGATATTAACTAGAAAATGCAATAATAATTTTAATTAGTATGTGCTGTTTAAATTTTTATTATTTTTATAAGTGTGTATAGTTTTATTTATTATAAATTTCAACTATAATAAAATAATTAATTTCCAAAAATATCATTAAATAATTATAAAATTCATTAACATAATTTGAAAGCAACCATCAACATAAAATAACCCTTAAATATTCATCTCACATTTATTTTGAATAACAAAAACTAATAATAAAATATTCACGACTATTATTTTAAAAAATACAAATGTGATCGTATTTGTTTTAGAGCCAGCTAAAATAGTTTTCTAGCTAATTTAGCTGAAAATAAAATAAAGAGCATGTATTTGGATGCTTTAAGCAAACTTTACAAGAGTAAATAATTAGTCAAACCTAATAAAAGCCCCCAATCTCTATGAGTAGTTTCAATTGGGTCCCCACCATTTTTTTTTGTCTTAATATTTTGAACCTATTAATAAATTCTCGATAAGATCCTTCATTAGTTCCCAGTTAACAAATTGTTAAACAGTTACATGAAATTCACATGGTTTTTAATTTTTCACAATAAATAAAATAATCTTTTCAAGATCTTCACTCAAGCGATATATCAAATTAGAAAAAAGGAACACAAACCATTATATTTCTTTTTAAAGTTTATTGATAATGAAAAATATTTTAGTAAATTCATTTATTTTTAATTAATATGATAAAGTTAAATTAAATAATTTCTAAATGACTATTTAACTATTTTGTTAACCTGAAGTGACAAAATAATTTAATTGAGCATCCAAAAGACATGTAAGAGTCCTAATTCAGGTAAGAAAAAAGGAGAAATTAGAGACCTAATTGAAATCATCCCTATAGACTGGAGACTTTTTTGAGGTTTTTCCTAAATTATTCTTTAGTCCATAGGGTTTATTGAAATTACAACGTAATCCTTCATGATTGAAACCTCTAATTTATTTGAGTCGGGGGATTAACCTGTAATTTGCATAAATAAAGAGCCAATTCATAATGTTTTACAAAAGTAGGGACTACCACTCACTAAATTTAGAAAAACTTGTTCTTTATAGCTCGCCGCCCCCTTTACTCTCACCTCTTCAAAGCTTAGCTCTCAGACCCTCTCCCCTTCTCCCCGGCAGTCGGCGGCCAAACTCACAACGTCCGGCGGAGTGTTGCTTTCACTTCAGAGGGAATTAGCCAGCACCAGCACCTTTGCCTTCACTTCCTGTTGTATCTCGAAAGAACCAACCTTCCCTAAAGAAACAGTGAGAGAAGCACCCTACCCTTGCCGCAACTCTCTCTTCATCCTATCAAAGCCCCTCTGTTTCCCGGTAACAGAGACTGCGGCGACCCCAAATCCGATTGATTAGTGGGGTTGAAACAGAGAAATGAGAGGGATAGAGATATCATTGAATCAAACCCAAAAGATAAGGTTGCAGAGAGCTCTGAAACAGCTAGAATCTTTGTATTTGAGAGCCAACTTCAATGCTTCTGTAACTGTCGCCGATACCATCCCCGTTAGCAACGAAGACACCATCCTCAAGTATGCGCTTCTCTCTCTCTCTTTTTTTTCCTTGAACTTCTTGTTTTATGTCTTGTTGAAGTATCTAACTTTCTTGTGTTCAAATGAAGGGGTCATGGCACCTCTGAGCGCGACGGAGAAGTGGTGGCGACGCTCTGTGGTGTGGTGGAGCGTGTTAACAAATTAGTGTATGTTCGCACGTTGCGTGCCAGGTATAATCATATTACTTCCATTCATCATTGCTTTATAACGGTAAAATAAAATAAAATAAATTACTTATTATTGACTGTCAGGTACAAGCCAGAGATTGGAGATATCATAGTGGGGCGTGTTGTTGAGGTATCATTGGAATTTGGAAGATTGAAAATGATTTCCATTCGTTCATGGGGCTTATGGGTTTTATTTTTTTTAATTATCATGAATATATCAATGTTTTCCAGGTAGCGCAAAAGCGGTGGAAATTGGAAATTAATTTCAGCCAAGATGCTGTTTTGATGCTTTCTTCTATGAATTTACCTGATGGGATTCAGGTATCAACCCTATCTTTATTATGTTTCTTTTAGATGCATATCTTTGGTACTGATTTTGTATTTTGATTTACGAAGTCATTCGTTATTTAAAGAACATGTTGGAACATAAGAGAAAGGTCCGTCATAATAACATCTTTGGATGATTGAAATGGAGAGGAAAGGAGTTGTGTAAATTGGTTTGCTTTTCCTGAATATTTGGCAAACTGAAAGAAGAACCGCAGATTCCTCTGCGTATCTTTTGTTCAGTTGCGATATTAGTTTGTGATGAAACATCAGCAAATTCCTCACCGACTGCCTACGTTGATTTTGTCAAAGCTTGCTTTAAAATTTGAAGGACCGCAGGCTTAAAATGATTTATAGTCTCATGTGATTCTGTCACAGTATACTCCTACTTCTTGAGTTTTGATGAGGAGGAGAGGTTTTCTATGAGAATTGTACTGTAGAACCTAGTTTTGTAACGTGATGTCCCATTAATGGGATCCCTGGAAATAAAATTTCAAGAATGGTCCTACCATTTAGCACTTTTGTTTTGCATGAAATGGCTGCTTACGCACAATGGCTTAAACCTGCAACCTCGTGGTTGCATGCCCAAGCCGCATTCTTTTGCACTATCCTATGGCCTTTCCATATCTACAAGTCCCGGATACTAAAATATGTTATTTGGAATTCTGGATGAAATGTGTTTGAGAAGCTGGGAATATATGTTCTATCTGTTCATATTTAGGATCTGAAATGGGCTTTATTTCTTGCTTTGCTAATACGCGCGCGTTCTATATCTTTGATTGCTAGAGGCGGCGAACTGCATTGGATGAACTGAACATGCGCAGTATTTTTGAGGAGAATGACGTTGTGTGTGTAAGTCTGTTGTCATGCATTGTTGATTTTCCTGCGTGATCGACCAGTGTTTTACCAAAACGTAGAGCAAATGCATAGGTAAATGTTATAATCAACTATCTTTTTTCTCATTTTCAGGGTGAAGTGCGTAATTTTCAGAATGATGGTGGCATACAATTGCAGGCAAGAAGTCAGAAGTATGGAAAGGTTTGATTTACATCCAAAGTGCTTTTCTACTGTGCTTTTATGGGTTGGCAAACTTTTCCGTTTTTTGTCTATTACTCTATTATAAAGAATCGCAAATTGAAGGGTACTATAATTGTATCCTTTAAAATGTCCACTTAAACTAGTCATTCACATGGAAATTGACCACTAAGCTGGACAGCTCCCCACAAGGTTGAGGCGGGAAAAAGATACTGAAAATGATATCAATGTCGACCCTAAAGAGAAAATTCATATTAATAATATTTTTAATCCCCATGAGGATATCTGGCATATCCATCTATAAGTAGGATGATATTAACAGGATATAAGGAAAATTAATGGAAAAAAGAAAAATAAAATTGGCACTCTGGGAGTTTTTGGGTATTAATTTAACATGCTAATGTTATTGCTTGCTTTGTCTTTTTTTTTTTTTTCCTTCTGAAAATGTAGTTACAAATGCTGCTGATTATTTGATCTGCACATGGTTCTTATCTATTATCTCTGATTGGTACTTCAGTTGAAGTCAATATTCAGCGTAGTCTTTTGTTTTATTTTATGCCATTTTTATCATTCTTGTTCATAGTGATATTTTTATGCACGACAGCTTGAGAAGGGTCAGTTGCTCACGATTCCACCATATCTAGTGAAAAGACAAAAACATCATTTCCATCATTTGGAACATTATGGAGTTGACCTGATACTAGGATGTAATGGGTTCATTTGGGTTGGTGAGCTTGTCGAGGCCAGGGACTGTATTGAAGAGGATCAACTGAACAATACTGAACAACAATTCACCAAATCCAATACAACCAAAGAAATGCCACTAGAGACGAGGCGGAGCATATGTCAGATAGCAAATGCTATCCGTGTCTTGTCAATTTTAGGCTTTAATGTAACTTTAGAAGTGATACTGGAGACTATTGACTTGAGCAGGACACTGAATCTTGGAATAGATGAGATGCTTGGGCCAGAGTTCCATGTTTTGGTAGCAGAGAGAGAAGCTGAACGCCGCACATCGATGACAAAAAGGAAGGGGTGACACTGTCTTTGGAAACCTAAGTATACATGGAGTTGTGTTTTTCCTTCTCTTCCAGGGGTAGGATGGGTGTGCTGTAGTAAAAGAGGATTTGTAAATTTGACAAAATTGTTGCTCAGCATCAGAGCAATTCATCTTGACAAATTTTGATCGTTTTGCCTCATCTGCGCAGCTCAGATTGATTATAAATTATTATCATGTTTGTTTCATTGATCCATTATATTTGAAACGCCTCACTGCAATTACTTTATCTTCCAGCATGCTAGTAAGCTGTGATAAACTAATCTGCAAAATGCGGGGGAGAGTATAAAATGCCTGCTGGAGTCTATTGATTTCCTCTCCAGTCGTGTAATTTTATCTGAGGGGGAGAGTATAAAATGCCTGCTGGAGTGTATTGATTTCCTCTCCAGTCGTGTAACAGATTTTGTTAACGGGTCTCTTTACTATGGGTCATAAGAACTTTCTACTTTCTTGAGAAACTTGCATCACCCATGGATGTAAAAAGATTAGGATGAACTATTTAGTGTTTTTCTAGTGTGAGGAGAAAGTAGACAGCGGATTGGGTCTGCTGTTGGGAAGGTCGCTACTTTGTTGCTCATGCGGGTTGTGCCAGCTATAAGGTACGAGTTCTTTGTACTGATTTGCTCTCGAAAACCCCATTTATTCTCTTGTCAATGAGAAATGTGATATGAAGGAAAGTGAGGAGGGACGTGGCAACTACATCAGAAAACACGGTTATGGTCCGTTCACCTATGGACCATCTGGACCAGATGATAGCAAAAGATTCTGAACGAGAGTGCCAGAAGAATAAAGAGGTAGAGTGAAGAAATAAACATGGTAGAGTTAAGATTTTTCAACCATGACCACCCCTTCCTCTTTCATGAGGAAAAGAGCTGTTGCGTTGCCTGTCTAGCTTGCCATGGACCTGTTGTGGGCATAACCTATGCTTGCACATCTTGCAACTCGCTCCTTCACAAGTTCTGTGTTGAGTTTCCTGAAGAAATCCGTAAAAACACTCTCACCATACGGTCAAAACGACATGATTCTATTTGTTTTGCATGTAAACTAGATAATTTTGCCTTCTCCTACCATTGCGGTACCTGCAAATTTGAGGTCCACTTGCGATGCAAAAAAGTACAAGCATGAGGGTCACGAACATTTTTTGGCTATTGATTATCGTGCATCTGTTATACTAGCAGGTTATTATGAGAGGTCACAAAAGGTCAAAATAAATACTGAAAATATTCCCATTTGTAATGCTTGTTGCCATCCTTGTGAAGGCCTTACATTGGAATGTGAGGAATGCGATTTCCACCTGTGTTTCATACTATTCAGCATGAATGCCACCATGATCCTCTAACCCTTGTATATTCATTAGAAGACGATTTGAAGTTGGCACGATGATCTTTGTGAGACTAGAAGAGACCCAAATCAGTGGGTCTATAATTGTGCTGAATGCTTAATTCCTGTGCATCTCAGTTGGGGGTGTATCCTTTTATAGGAAAGGTGACGGATCTGGTTGAGCGGATCCCAATTAAGATGAAGCCATCAGAAGCATATTCTGAAGGCATTAGAAGATGGATTTGAAAATTTTCTATACCATTTAGAAATGTGTGCTCAATGCTAACAGGAAAATGATTGGAATTTCTTGTACTTGAAACATCATAGAATGCTTACATTTGTCTTTGCTTTTGAAAAACCAAAACGATTTGCTTATCAATGTGCTTCTAGATTTGTGTAATACTCAGTTTTGTTTACTTAGGATGTGTTTTTGCCATCTGGGGTCTGCAGCTATCCAATCGCACAAGGCTATGACATTAATGGAAATATCCTCCATATACGTAAAATGCTCCATGATAATCAACTCCAGCAATCAATTTTTAAAATGAATATTTGCCCTTTTTACTGGTATAGAACATGGCAAGTCATGTTTGTCAAATCGAGAACACATGATTCAACTCAATGGATTTATCAAACACAATCAGTGACATGATCCTGGCGGACCCCTAGTCTATCCATAGTTATCAGACTCCACCTGGGAATTGACTAGGAGAAGAGTCTGAAGTCAATCATAATTCGACTCGAATCAAGTTTCGCAGGTTTGTCGATCAATCTGTCAAGAACCACGAGCCTATCCAGCAACAAATTAATTAGGCGATCACCAAATAGAGCATTTGATGTTCACTGCCACTCATCGGTGCGAGGTGCGATGCTTGTTGATAACTTCAAAGGCCCTGCTCTGAAATGTGAGGAGCTTGGTATCTACCTTCATGTCAGGTGTGGATTGTTGCCGCGTGAGGTTCAACATCATGGTCATATGAGTTGTTCCAACTCTGAGGTGCGCCCTCTTTATACCGATCTCCTTTCTGTAAACCCCGTCTATTCGATTGTCAGAGAAGAATCCAATCGAATTGAAAGCGAGATGGGCATCGAGGCTAGTTCATCATCGCCATCGAGGATGATCTCTAAACACCATGTGAAAAAGAAGATTCTGAATTCATTTCATGGAGACGGTGCCATTATTGGCAAATAACGATGGAAGTCAATTGGGGCATGGCTGTCGCAATCCCTGCATGCGCAGGCCTTCCAAGGTATATGCAACCTGTCATGGACAATTAATATTATACAAGCACACAATTCGTCCATCACAAATTTATTAGTAGCCATGATTATTAAATTTAATGAGGATGGTGTTTGTAAGTACGATAGTGATTGTATTTTATAATAATTTTTTATTTGAAAACATATTAAAATAATATATTTTTTATTATTTAAAAATTATTTTTAATATCAGTTTATAAAAACAATCTAAAAAATAAAAAATTTTAAATTAACTTGTGAGTCATGAGATAAGATTAATCCACAAATTTATTTGAAGAAATAAAACAATCAATTTCTCTTTTTAATTTTTTACCTAATATAAATTTTACTATATCAATAATTAAATCATGATGGTCTGATCAAATTTTGATTCTAAACAGTCTAGTAACTTGTGTAATTAAATCATAAATCTAGAAATTTAAACATTAGATTATTATGTCAACCTATAATTATTACACATTATCTTCAATTATCATAAATTTATAGGCAATCATAATGGTTAAATTCGATGAAAAAATGACCCATTTAAGTGCTATATTTATTGTTTACTAGATTAATATGGAGCCATCACATTAATACACAATTTTTATTTTAAGTAAAAAATAAAACAATCATTTTCAATTTTTTTTCTAGGAGGATTTTAACCACGTCAACAATTCCGGTCAACATGATTTAATCAAATTTTAGATATAAATAATCTAGCAACTTATACACATAAAAATAAGTTTAATAGCACTAGAGGTTGTGGTTTAACAAGAAAGGGATTTTTTTTTCTATATTTAAATTCAATTATTTTTGTATATATTTATTACCCTATAATATCTTATCTATTCATTAAGTTTGTAAGGTATTTAATAAATTTGAAGGTTAACCGTAATATTGTAAGTTAGTTCAAATATCCTGAAATATATAAAAAAAAGAATTTAATATTGTAAAGTGTTCTTCACTTAAAATTATATCTAAATAATTATTTATATTTATTTTTTATTTTTAATATTAGCGCACGAATATCATTAAAAATATTACTTAATATTTTTTCAAACCAAATATAGTTTTAAAACGCAATTTCAAACGTAAAACAACTCATTCCGCTAGGTTAGATCTTGTAAATTTGAGCAGCTAAATCACTAACAACCTTCTAAATTTATTATTATTAATTTCTGTGCATGCATTTGTAAGGTCAACAATTACAGAATTAGAAAAAAAAAAAAAAATCTCAAATACACTCTCCACTTACTTTCTCAAACAAGCCAAAAAGAAAAGTGCCAAGCAAGACAGAAAACAGGAATCAATTCATGCCAAGCAAATAAAATCTTCCATAGTCCCCATCAATACAACACAAAAATATCCAACTGCACAATTCTTTCATTAACTTATAAACTTGTTTTTTTTTATATATTTTTATTTTGAAAATAAAAAATTATAAAATAATATATTTCTATCTTAATTTTTTAAATAAAATATTTTTTTATTTTTTTATTGGCCCCACCAAATATAACTTATATATAAAAAAAAGAGCACAAAAAAATAAAGAGATTAAGAAAGAACTCTCCAATTGTTGTTGCCATACAAAATTCTCCCACACAAACAAAACATCAAATATCTAAACTCCCTGACATTAACTGACAATGTTAAACCATTCCAATTCAGACACGTGTCCACACAGTTTTTCTTCCTTCCTCTTTCTTGGGCCCCACTCAAATTCATTTTCAAGAAATTAAAAAAACACTAATAAAGAGTATCTAAATTAGGAAACAAATAATTATATGCATATTATTTTGTTTGCTTCCAAAGCTTATTCCAAATAAGTGTTTCAAAAAATCTCATAGCCAATATTTTATTTGGAATTAGTAAGTACGATCATTTTTTCCTAATATTAATTTTCTATATCATATTTTAAATAAATCATTTAAACTTGAATTGGGATAATTACAAGAACTTATATTTTTTTCTAAAATTTGTGATCTTTAAATAATAATATAAAGAAAACTCATTAATTATTTGGAAAATTGATTTGATAATTTTTTTGGATGAAAAATAGAATATGATTAATCTAATTATATATTACTGTAATATAATTAATATTAAATGAAAACTACGTAAAAAAAAAAACAGTCTCCTATAAGCGTAACCTCCCTCGCTCTCTCTCATTTCCAAATCACACCAGGTTTATTCTCCTTCTTTCTCTAGCATTTATTTCTTTGCTGATGTTAAAAGAGATATTAACTGGTGTATTAAGAACCGTCTATTTATACGTATAAGTGATTAATTACTGTTATTGGTGTGTATAGGTGGGCTGAATAGAGGAAGATCTGATGTACTTGCTGGTGGATCTTAATTATACACAAGATCATGATGGCCCTTGAAAATAAAGGTATGCTTATGCTCTGTTTTGTTGTGTTTTCTCTTTTGGGTTTTGTTTGTTTTTCTGAATTTTGAAAACTTTTGATCTGTTTCGAGTGTTATTTCAATGATATGTGTGGTAGAGCAACCCGTTTTTTCTTTTTTTGTGATAATGGTATTTGATGGATTTTCTATAATGGGTTTTGTTTACAATGGAGAATTGAATTGTAAAGTTGGAGACTTGAGGGATTTTTTGAGTGCTGGTTACTGGTTGATCATCACTGCAGCGCAGTTTAGTTTTGTGATATAACATGGTTGGTGAATTATGTTGTTGTGTTGTTGCGTGATTTGGTAGCTGGTGAGGTAATTGCTACTTGAATGTTTATAAATTCTTGTGGAGTGGAGGATGTGTGATTTTATGTTTTGCAGAGATTTGGATATTAGTGAGGAATTGTGTGATTTGGATATTTAGGTTTTTGGTAGATAGAAATTGCACGAAGTGTTCAAGTGGTGTTTTGCATGTTGAGTTGATGTGCAATGTAGCTTTCCACATCCAGAGCCTAGGTTCAGAAAAGGTTTTGGAGAAAGTTGAATGAAACAGTTTCAGTGCTCGCCCTTGCATGGTGCTATACCAGTTTAATCATGATCCTATGATCTGCTGATTTAAGTGTGTACAATCGATGCAGTTTACTTCTTCTAATGTCATTGACCTACTCGATTAGCTACTAAAGTACATTTTAGGTATCCAACTACAGAAGCATGTGTAGAATTTGAATACCTTGTCAATTTGATTGACACTTGAGTGAGAATCTTGTGCAAGCTCATTAGCAAACTAATAAAGCTTTCACAAAAGGATATCTTTTGGGAATTAGTGTAATGAGCATGGATTAGTTCCCCTCACGCTATCTCATTCAACTTAGAATACAGTTAAAAACCTTATTTTTTTCATCCTCGACAATAATCCAAGAATCCTGGTAAAATCAGCCAAACAAGGGGGCTTATTCATTTTGTGAGAGATGAAAAACCACTTCAGACCTGCCTGTACATCTCCATCTGCAGCTGGAACTTACTTCTCCATTTCCTTACCTTATATCTGAAAGAAGGTAAGAAATCCACACATTTTCAAACCAAAAGGAGTGTCATTGAATTCATCAAAACAAGATAGTGACGTGAAACTGGTTGGGAAGGTCCAACAAATTTTAATTAATTAGGTCCATCCTTAACACAGGTCATTCCTTTTGGGACAATGTTCTCTCCAAGAAAATAAGAATTAATGCTCTAACCATTTGCTTCATTATCTACCTAAAAAACGCTTCTTTCTCCAGGATTTTTTTCAAAATCAATGGCTTGTTTTTAAGAAACAACTTTGTGAAGCTACTTGTTGTGGCCTCTTGAAAATGCACATGTTGTATGTTATTTATGTTTGGTAGAAGGGAAAGACCTTGTTGTTTTGAATTCATATGATAGTGCTTTGGCATCTAGATGCATTATTGTGGTTTGGATGATGATGCTAATTGATAGCACACCACTTAAAGGAGCAATTTCTGGATCTCTCTCTCTCTTTTTGTGTTGTCTAGGGATAAGGAGGCTTTGGTTACCTATTATTCGGACTTTTGCTTCAGGAAGTGTCATGGGATGTATTGTATACTTGGAATGCTGAAGATTGTGAGGTGTTCACTTGAATGGCTATACGATTGTGTACAGATAAGAGGAAATATTCCTACTCTTTTGTTTTCTGGCTAGAGTAGAGGGGATTTACAAGGAGGGCTGTTGAGGGGAAGAGTTGCTTCTGACTTATTTTAGATGGTTGGTTTTAACTCCGCTCTTTTGTCTAGTATATAGAAGATTTTGTTTTTCATCATATATTTGGTGGATTAATTTTTTGCAACCGGAATTCTTAGTTTTGTGGTTGGAACCCATTCTGTTGTCCTCTGGTAAAGTTTTTGGTTATCCCAGAAGAAAGATAAACGCTGCAGTAAATGCTCATGTCACTAGATATTATGGTCCAGATTATCCAGCCAATTGTTACTATGCTTTACTTGTTTCTTATCTCACATCCTTTAGTATTATCTACAAAGGCTTTGCTCTACCATTTTCTGTGTATATGCAGTTGTCTGTCCATGTAGCAGCATTTTGTTTTTGTTTCTCTTTTCTTTTTCTCTTTTCGTGTTTTTTCCATCTTCGGCACTTTTTTTGGCATGTGCTGTGTTTTCTCAATGCATTATTATTTTCCAAAAAATGTGTATTGGAGGCTTTCCCGGGACTCACACTTGGTATTTCTTGTTTGTTTTACTGTTTATCAGAACTGTTAAATATGGTTGATGATAACAGATTATTAAAATAAAATTTTCTCAAGTGTTTGCTGTTTTTCATTTCTTCTTGACAGAAACTATGCAAAGGAGCTGTGAGGCCTCCTTAAAATGCCTCCAAATCAAGGGATTCCCTTGTGGGAATACCTTTGAAAGCCTTCCTAGGTTTAAAAAAGAAATTGGTGCTCACCTAGGCGGGGATGTTGTTGAACCAGTTCACTCACTAAGCAGCGAGTTTCTTGAACTTCCAAGTGAATTTCAGAACAAACCTGCCTACCATCATGATTCTGGCTCATGGTCTACCTTTTATCCAGACTCTCAAAAGATGCCGCCATGCCAAATGAATTGTTTTGAAAGCCAATTTTATCCCTTTCCTTTGGAGACTCAATTTCAGTATGCTCCTTCTAATATTTTTTCTCAAGGTTATCCATGTGAGATCCAGTTACAAGATTTTCAGTATTTTGTGGTCATAGACTTTGAGGCTACTTGTGACAAGGAAAGAAATCCTCATCCACAAGAGATAATTGAGTTTCCATCTGTCATTGTGAGTAGTGTCACTGGCCAACTAGAAGCATGTTTTCAGACATATGTGCGGCCAACATGCAATCAGCTCTTGAGTGATTTCTGCAAGGATCTGACTGGTATCCAGCAAATCCAGGTTAGCTTGGAATTCCTTTACTTTTCAGAAAAGAGTACTTTGTATGTGTTACTTGGAATGTCTATCAGCAGCGTTCAATTTACGTTGTACCAGGTTAGGACTGTCCCTTTGAAAGACCAGATAGTGCGTGACTAGAAAATTTATATTACCCTGGGAGTGATCACCTACATTTACTTTATGAGGAGAGAGAGACAAATGGAAGAGAGAGAAAATTGAAATGGGACACCTCCCCTGAAAAGATGGTTTAATAATTTCCACATTGGCATGAAATAGGTTTTTTCTCTTTCTCCATCTGCTTTTTGTCTCTTCCTTGTAACTTTCTATCCCCTCATGGAGTGTTGTTAGTTACTCCTGTGGAAATATAAAATTTCTCATTAAACACTATCTCTTAGGTTTCGTTATGTGAATTATTTTATTACTTTGAATTGCAAGCTGGCCACACGTTTTAAACTGTTGCTTGCTTCAACTAGTTTCTCAGAATTTTCTTTATGTTAATCTCTCTTCTAAACTTTTTGATGAACATCATGTTGCCTCTATCTTATTCTTGTATTTCTGTGTGGCTCCAGGTGGACAGAGGTGTTACTCTTAGTGAGGCACTCCTCAGGCATGATAAATGGCTTGAGAATAAAGGGATAAAAAATACGAGCTTTGCTGTGGTGACATGGTCGAACTGGGATTGTCGGGTGATGTTGGAATCTGAGTGCCGATTCAAGAAAATCAGGAAGCCTCCTTATTTTAATCGGTAAATGATCACATAAAAACTTGTAGATTTGAACCATTCCATTATAAATATATTTCAATTTCTGCGCAAATTATTCTTCATTGTGAATGAATTGGAACTCTGTTCTTTTTTTCTTTTTTTTGTCGATATGTCAAAAGTGCCTCTGACATATTCTTTTTTCTTTTTCTTATTTGTCAGATGGATCAACTTAAAAGTTCCTTTCTGTAAAATATTTGGTGGTGCCAGATCTCTGAAGGAGGCGGTTGGGATGGCAGGCCTAGAATGGCAGGGCCGTGCTCACTGTGGATTGGATGATGCCAAAAATACTGCTCGGCTGCTTGCCCTGCTCATGCATCGGGGTATCAGATTCTCCATCACCAACTCACTGATGTGGAACACAACTGACATTTCATTGCCATGCAAGCAGTCCCCTGAGAACCTGTCCTTTTCACCACATCAACCCCAAAAGCTGAAGGAAATGTGTGTTCCTGTTTTCCCGTATCACCCCTTTTGTTTCTGTGGGGTGAAAAGCAGCAAGGGAATGGTTCGAAAGCCTGGACCGAAGCAAGGTAGCCTGTTCTTTGGTTGTGGCAACTGGACTGCCACTAGAGGTGCACGCTGTCATTACTTTGAATGGGCATCTCCTTGACTAAGATTATGGAAAACCTGTTTAGCTTTGGACTCCGCATCCTATATTCTGTCGGGATGCACTGTGAAAAAAATGACATAAAAAAAAAGGAAGATTGAAAGTAATGTAGTAGGTTGTCTCCTAGTGAACAAAATATAAATAGTTGGCTCAATTGGTGGAGGGTTTGGGAAACATCAGAGCGGGAGGAGAGCTGCAACCTGTAAAGCTGACTTGTTGACTGGAGAACAAATTGGTAAATGTTTGATGGGTAGTTAGGATGATGCTTTTTACATGCATGGACATGCTAAGTTATTGTTATGATAAATAACCCGTGAGATAGGGACAATTCGATTTCCTATGCATCTCTAATGGGAGCGGATAGAGTTGCTTGCCCAAATTTCTCGTATCTGTTCTGTTTTTCCTTGTTTTCTTGAATTCCTTTGTGGGGCTCTGATGGTCAAATTAGGTCTGTTGATTATGTACTGTTATTCTTGCAAGTAATTAAGCATAGAGCTCCAAAACATAATGAAATGGAAAGATAAAAGGTGCGCTCATTCTCAATGCATCAAGCAGGTTTCTGGTTAAACTAAACTTGACATTGATCCAGACAAACCTAAAAAATAAAATGCTATGATTTAAAAAAAATGATTTCTTCGGTAACGCAAACTCTTTTTTGGTTAGACAACAATGCACTGTTAATAAAGTGTCATAGGCACTTGACTGAGGCAGATAAAGCTTGAAAAGCTTCCCCCCAAGCACATTCTTCTCGGTCAGTATTTCCAAGTGTCATGACCTCTATTACTTTGATGACATGTGTAAAGGAGAAAACTAAAACTCAGCCTCCAAGCTCCAGACATGGTGTACAAAGACATTTTCAATCCAAGGCCATCATCACCCTTCCATTCCCTCCCTATATTTAATGCCTTCAAGCCACCTTCCATAGTTCCCTGCCACAAAACCAATCACATTTTCAGTGAATCTTTTACATGAATGAAAATAAAATATGAAACTACACATCATCCATGATGAGCACTGAACAAGCTGTTGCATCCCACAATCATTTTGTTTTTTAATAATTGCTTCCAGCAAACAAAATCTTACCTAGACTCGATTCTATCTTGTTCCTTGGAGATGTTAAATAATGGAAGCTGCAAGAAGAGCTCTGTGCGTAAGCGATCCGTTTAACCCGCTCATTACAACCTTCGCGCAGTCTGCTGGCATTCTTGTCATCTCTCATTGCTTCCACCTTTTCTTGAAACAATTCGGACAGCCTGGACCTGTTGCACAGATCTTGGTAATCGATCTTTCTCTTTCCATGCACATCCATAAATATCAATCTTATGTAACGTTAATGGCAGCTTATACTCTTTTGTTTCATCAGGCTGGAATTGTTCTAGGTCCCTCATTGTTGTCCCGCATCCCCAAAGTTAATCGATTCTTTATTCAGTCGAGTACCGCGGATTATTATGAAGTAATCGAAACCATTTTCCGCACAGTTTTCATGTTCTTGATAGGCCTAGAGATGGATATTCCTTACATGAGGCGAAGCTTGCGCAAAGCAAGCATTATTGCATCTAGTGGGGTGATTGTAGGTGTCTTGTTTGGTATTGCTGTATCCATTTCCCTCATCATTTTGTTAAAAATAAAATCCCAACATTTTGATTTTGCCACTATTATCATAATAGCATTAACGAACTCGGCATCTCCTGTAGTTTTTCGACTGGCAGCTGAACTGAAGTTTCTGACTTCAGATACAGGTAGATTGGCAGTCTGTGCTTCTTTGATTACTGAAATGTTTTGCGTGTTATGGAGGTCAGTTAGCCTCGCAGTGGATCCATGGAAAAATTTAGGAACAGGGATTCTTTTCCTTCTTATGACCGTGACACTCGTAGGTATAAACAAGTATTTGGCTTCGTGGTGTAACCAGAGGATTCGGAACCAAAAATATGTGACGAACACAGAGTTTTTAGTCTTCTTGTTCCTTTTAATAGCTGCCGCACTTTTTATTGAAGAATATGGTTACAACAGTGCAATATCTTGCTTTTTGTTGGGCTTGATGTTCCCTAGGGAGGGCAAAACTACTCGGACATTGTTGCATAAACTCAGTTACGCTACATACAACTTCATACTTCCAGTGTACTTTGGCTACATAGGTTTTCAGCTTAATGTTTCTATTTTGGGTAGATTGAAATCTTTGATCACGGTTATTGTGATGATTGCAATGTCCATCGCAACTAAAATTATTGGCACGCTAGTTGCTTGCCGTTACCTCAAGATCTCAACAGACGAGAGTATTGTACTTGGCTTTTTACTCGATTTGAAGGGAAATGCCGAACTTCAGATCTTGGGAAAGCTGCCAAAGGAAACTGTAAGTTTTTGGAAAAATTATCAGTACCCTTGTGCTTTTTTGAATTGCTCTATGGCAGGATGCGTTGATATGAATACTGAAAAAAACATCGTTCTCTTCTCTCCGTAAATGATATTATTTTATGCTTTTCCTATAGTTGAAACAGTGGGAGGAAGCGGATGTTCACGGTATGGTGCTAACTGTTGTGGTGATTAACACTGTGATAGCAGGAGTGGTAGTGGCTCATATATTAAGGAAAAAAGAAGAGTATTTTTCTCACAGCCATACCTCAATTGAATTAGGAGAACCGGAGAGTGAACTTCGAATGCTGGCTTGTGTCTACGGATCTCGGCATATATCATCGAAAATTGGGTTAATCTCTGCTTTTAGTGAATCTCTCAAAACACCAGTCACCGCTTACCTGATGCACCTAGTTGAGCTCCCAAAGAAACGCACCAAGAAGAATTTGATGTACCACCAGCTACAAGATGGTGATCAATACAGTGACGAGGAGGACTATGGCGGAAATGATGTTGTGGAGATCAATGATGCTGTGGATGCATATACAATGGAGACCAAAGTATTGATCCACCAAAGGAAAGTTGTGTCTTACTTTGAGAGAATGTACGAGGATGTGTGTGATTCCATTGAGGACTTGCGTGTTTCAATCATATTTCTGACTTTTCACAAGCACCAGCGCCTTGATGGGAAGATGGAGAGCGGAAAGGATGGAATGAGAACCACTAACCATAAGGTTATGCGTCATGCCCCATGCTCGGTAGGGATCTTCGTGGATCGAGGGCAGACAGGATTTCAACAACCTAGTTCACAATCTGTGCAAAATATAGCAACATTATTTTTCGGCGGCCCTGATGATCGTGAGGCATTGGCGTGTAGTAAAATGATTTCAAACCATCCTCACATTCATTTGACACTCATACACTTCCAGAATTTACCATCAAGCAAACAGACAGAGTACACCAATGAAATACTCCACAGGAATGATGAGTTACTGATGGAAATGTCAAATCACGAGATTGAGGCTGAGATTGACAGGGCATATACGCAGGATTTCTATAACAGGTTTCCACAAGTAAACTATATATATTTGATATCTTTGTTTCTTTATTGCTCTAAACATGTCTTTTCCTTCTGATAGAGTAATTGCATTGCCTCTGTTGGCTCTAATTACATATAAGAACTGCATTTTTCTTTTGCTTTCAGATATGTGACGTCGGGTCAAGTTGGATATGTAGAGAAGTATGTTGAGAATGGGACTCAAACAGCAGAAGCTCTAAGAGACATACATGATACCTTTTCATTGCTCATTGTAGGAAAGGGTGGTAGAGGGAACTCACCTATGACAACTGGTATGAGTGACTGGGAGGAGTGTCCAGAGCTGGGGACAGTCGGGGACCTTCTGGCTTCTTCAGAACTTAACACCAACAGTTCGGTTTTGGTCATTCAACAATATCGACATTCGAGAAATGACCTTAATTAGGGATTGTCAGACATCTGATATGCACATATATTAATGTACATATATATGTGAAATTGTTAGATAGTTATTGTCTATGGTTTTCATTCGAACAGGATGTCTTACAATGTAATTTGACTGAGTTTTAGACACGTTGTTTAGCTTATTGCTTAAGGAGAGGTAATGATCTTCCTGGCGTTGGAACAGGTAAAGGGCCTGTTCCAAGACAGGTAATGCTTGAAATTTGTGGTTGCTCTAAGTTACGGTCACTTCCCGAGGAGTTTGTAGCATAGTTTCTTTACATAAACTGGAAATTATCAATTGTCCTAGCTTCTTGGAAAAATGCAAAGGAATAAGGAACTTCAGAGCAAGAGCTTAGGATTTCTCCAATGATTATGGCATGTGATGGAAAACCTGTGGAACCGTCATCATCTACCACAGAAGGTTTCGAAGTGGTGTTTATACAGGTGAGCTTAAACATTACACCCGTTCAATTTATACATGTCATAAGATCCTAAAACCTCACAATGTTGACTGACTGATTTTGATGATCTTTGCATCAAGTTCTGCTTTCACCATTAAATTTTCCCATTCCCAAATGGCAAAAGTCAGTTCTATCGATAAAGTAAAATAAAATAAAAGGTAAAATCAGGCTCTTTAAACATCCAAGTTTGAAGGGGGGGTAGACGAGGGCTATGATCGGTGTTCTATGATGCTGTTGGAGCAACTTTATGGCAGTCAAAAGTTATCTGGATCCTTTTGATCCTTAGAAGATCTTAGACTTCGGAGTCTCATGCTCTCAGAAATGGGAGAAGGGGAGAAACATTGTTAACAGTGACACTGATAGTGAAGTTTTTCCAGCTCATCAAAAAGAAGCCGAATAGCAGTCAAAATTGTCGCGAGATTTCAGATTTCCCAGAGTTGTTAGAGGAGCGACCTTTGTGTAAGTGGAAATGGCAGTGGAGAAGACGAACCTCATTCGGTTTCCGCAGGTTCATGTACCCCTCCTTTCACCATCTGTCCTGTTCAAACCCAACAAACATCTGCCTTACTCTCGTTTCCTCAATTTCCTGATTCAGGATCTCATAAATTTTTTTTGTCCCATTCCTTCCTATTTGTTTCAGGTGCTAATAGCAGGAGAACTTAGTGTTAGGAACATTAAAAAAACAAAGGACATCAGAAGTTAGTGTCTGACTGCTCGGAATGTCGCAGTAATCATCCAATCGCTCGAGATGGTAGTCTGTTACTCAAATACAGATCAAATGGACTAGGTTAACTTGCTTTAGTTTCTCTGAAACATCTTGTTATCAGCAAACTAGTAATCTGGAAAGAGGAGCGTAGAGCTATGCCCTTATGCTTTATACGATTATACTTTCCATTGTAACAGGTTCGATGGGTTCCAAACTACATATATTTTCATCTCAGGGACTTCTGCTTCTTTATTTTTTCTTTTTCTAAATATACTTTGGAAGTCAAAGTGAATAATCAATTCTGTCTCGACCTAAAAGGCTTCTGAATCTGAGATATATCTTGTGAATAATTAATTTTCAGATGATTTTCCTCCAAAAGAAAAATGGGAAATATTATAAATATTATATTCATTTCACAGGAAATAAATAGTGCAAAAAAGAGATGGAATGAATAGTACAGAAACTCTTTTCATGTAAATTGCAATGGCTGTTATTGGGATAAATATGGTGTTTTTAGTAATGAACTGTAACAGTGTTCATAATTACTTAACTTAATTCTATGCAATATCTTAAGCTTGTTCTAAGAAGTTAATGATCTTGGCACTAAAAATAGGATCAAAGGCAAATCAGTAGTTAAATAAACAAGCCATCTCCCTCCTAATAGATTTTCCTCTTGGTCAGTATTTTCAAGTGTCATGACCTCTATTACTTTGACGACATGTGTAAACAAGGCAAATGAAACCCAGCCGCTCAGCTTCAGACACGGTCTTCAAAGAGATTTTCAAGCCAGGACATCATCAGCCTTCCCTTCCCTTCCCTTCCCTCCCTATTTTTAATGCCTTCAAGCCACCTTCCGTAGTTTCCTGCCACAAAAATGTTCACATTTTCAGTGAATCTATTACACCAATGCAGCAAAAGGAAAAAAAATGGAACGACACATATGCCGTGATGAGCACTGAACAATTTGTTGCATCCCACAATCACTTTTTTTTATTCAATTTATTATTTCCAGCAATCAAAATCTTACTAGAATCTATCTTGTTCCTTTGTGATATTAAAAAATGGAAGCTGCAGGAAGAGCTCTGTGCGCAAGGGATCCATTTAATCCGCTTATTGCAACCTCCACGCAGGCTGCTGGTATTCTTGTCATCTCTCATTGCTTCCACCTCTTCTTGAAACAATTCGGTCAGCCAGGACCTGTTGCACAAATCTTGGTAATCCATCTTTCTCTTTTCAAAATACGTTCATGAATCTTGATCTTTTCTGGTATACAAGCCAACTTGAATAAATTTTAATGTGTTGATATTTTCTTGTTCTATCAGGCTGGAATTGTGCTAGGTCCCTCGTTGTTGTCCCGCATCACCAAAGTTAATCAATTCTTTATTCAGTCGTCTACTGAAGACTATTATAAAGTTCTGCAATTCATTTTCCGCACAATTTTTATGTTCTTGTTAGGTCTAGAGATGGATATTCCATACATGAGGCGTAACTTGCGCAAAGCTAGCATTATTGCATCTGGTGGATTGATTATAGGTGTCTTGTTTGGTATTGTTGCATTTATTTCCCTCATCATTTTGTTAAGAATAAAAGCCAGTTTTGATTACGCCAGTTCCATCATAATAGTCCTAGCGAACTCGGCATCTCCTGTAGTTTTTCGACTGGCAGCTGAACTGAAGTTTCTGACTTCGGACACAGGAAGATTGGCTGTCTGTGCTTCTTTAATCTCCGAAATGTCTTGCGTGCTATTGGGGTCTATAGTTCATTCAGCTAGCTGGGAATATTTTGGGAAAGGGATTCTTTTGCTTTTACTGACCATAGCACTTGTAGTTATAAACAAATATTTGGCCTTTTGGTGTAACCAGAGAACCCGGAACCAAAAATACGTGACACACGCAGAGTTCTTGGTCTTCTTGTCCCTTTTAGTAACGGCGGCACTTGTTATTGAAAAGTATGGCTACCTCAGTACAGCATCTAGCTTTTTATTCGGCTTGATGTTCCCTAGGGAAGGCAAAACTACTCGGTCATTGTTGCATAAACTCAGTTACGCTACGTACAACTTCATACTTCCAGTATACTTTGGCTGCATAGGTTTTCAGTTTGATGTCTCTTATATAGGAGGTTTCAATAGTTTCATCATGGTTATCATGATGATTTTCATGTCCATCGCAAGTAAGATTATCGGCACATTATTTGCCTGCCATTACCTCAAGATCCCAACAGACGAGGGCATTGTACTTGGCTTTTTACTCGATTTGAAGGGAAATGCCGAATTTCATATCATGCGAAATCTGCCGAAGGATACTGTATGTTTTCTGAAGACCTTCCCAGGAATTATTTGTACCCTTGTGTTTTCCTTTGCGTAGCATTTCGTACTAGCATTGATATAGACACTTACCTCGATAAAAAATGTCTTCTTTCTTTTAGTAATGTTGTGTTATGCTGTTCCTGTAGTTGAATCCAATGGATCAAGAAAATGTTCAAAATCTGGTGGTATCTGTCGTGGTGATGAACACTGTGATAGCAGGCGTGGTAGTGGCTCATATATTAAGGAAAAAAGAAGAGTATTTTTCTCACAGCCATACCTCCCTTGAATTAGGTGAACATGAGAGTGAACTTCGAATGCTGGCTTGTGTCTACGGATCTCGGCATATATCATCGAAAATTGGGTTAATCTCTGCTTTTAGTGAATCTCTCAAAACACCGGTCACAGCTTACCTGATGCACCTAGTTGAGCTCCCAAAGAAACGTACCAAGAAGAATTTGATGTACCACCAGCTACAAGATGGTGATCAATACAGTGACGAGGAGGACTACGGCGGAAATGATGTTGTGGAGATTAATGATGCCGTGGATGCATATACCATAGAGACCAAAGTATTGATCCGCCAAAGGAAAGTTGTGTCTTACTTTGAGAGAATGTACGAGGATGTGTGTGATTCCATTGAGGACTTGCGTGTTTCAATCATATTTCTGACTTTTCACAAGCACCAGCGCCTTGATGGGAAAATGGAGAGCGGAAAAGTCGGAATGAGAATCACAAACCAAAAGATTCTGCGCCATGCGCCATGCTCTGTAGGGATCTTCGTGGATCGAGGGCAGACAGGATTTCAACAACCTAGTTCCCAATCTGTGCAAAATATAGCAGCGTTATTTTTTGGAGGCTCTGACGATCGCGAGGCATTGGCGTGTTGCAAAATGATTTCAAACCATCCTTACATTCATTTGACACTCATCCACTTCCAGCATTCACCGTCAAGCGAACAGACAGGGTACAATAATGGCACACCCCACAGGGATGATGAGCTACTGATGGATATGTCAAGTCACGACATTGAGGCTGAGATTGACAGGGCTGTTGTGCAGGATTTCTATAACAGGTATCCACTAGCAAATTACATATATGCTTGACATCTTTGCATCTTTATACTCTAAACATGTGTTTCCCTTCTGAAAGAGTAATTTCATTGCGTCTTGGCTCTTGTTACAATAAGAACTGCATTCTTCTTTTGCTTTCAGATATGTGACGCCAGGTCAAGTTGGATATGTAGAGAAGTATGTTGAGAATGGGACTCAAACAGCAGAGGCTCTAAGAGACATACATGATACCTTTTCATTGCTCATTGTAGGAAAGGGTGGTAGAGGACACTCACCTATGACAACTGGTATGAGCGACTGGGAAGAGTGTCCAGAGCTGGGGACAGTCGGGGACCTTCTGGCTTCTTCAGAACTTAACACCAACAGTTCGGTTTTGGTCATTCAACAATATCGGCATTCGAGAAATGACCTTAATTAGGGATTATCAGAGATCTTACGTGCTCGTATGTTAATGTATATATATTGTATATGGATCATCAGGTAATTATTGTCTGTAGTTTCCATTTACACAGGATTTTGTACAATGTCATGTGGCTGAGTTTGTAAACCCTTCATTAGATTTACAGCTTCAGGAGAGGTAAAGGGCCTTAACCATACAATCAGGAAACTGACCAGCCTGCCTAATGGAGTCGATTAGGGTAATATAACTTTTCACCAGGTGCTCAGTATTCAACAACTTTCAGGTATCCAAATTAAGGGTGTATTTGGATAAACTTTCTCGTGTGACTTTACCAAATTAGGAAAGGAGAACCATGTCCAGATCTCAGCTCTGATAACTCATTGATGATTATGACCCTTCAAATTAAGCATCCATGGCAAGCACGCAAGACTTTCCATGTTCTGAACACATTCTGTTGCTACTGGCTATATTCTGCCGTGCAGGTAATGTTGTCCGAGCTGCGTTTTGGTATGGATTGGTTGTCCATTTCAGGATTTATCCTATTATCTATCAACTTCCTATGGTTCTGGTTCTTGATCCAGACACCTTCAAATCTGGTGGGAAGCCACTTCTTGTCAATTGGAAATCTAGTCGAAACTGCGTCTACTGAAGACTATATAAGAGACTTTGTATTTCTTTACATGATGTAATGGTTATTTGTTTTTGTAGCCCGTGTTTTTTTTTTAAAAAATAATTTTTAATTTGTTGTAAATTAATTTTTTATATTTTTAGATTGTTTTTTATATGTAGATATTAAAAATAATTTTTTAAAATATTATTTTAATATATTTTCAAACAAAAATTAATTTGAAAAATAATCATTACCCCAACATATAACACAACACTAAATAAAATTTAAAAATATATCTAATATGTGTCAGCCGTTAATAATATAAAGTATCTCACTAATATACATTTTGATTCTTTTTAAAAATTCAATTTGATGCTTGTATTTTATTTTTCTTAATTGAAATTTCTTTCGTCCTTATATTTTTCTTACGAGTAAGTTTTTAATTGAAATTTCTTTAGTCCTTATATTTTACAATAAATACAATTTATACCTGAGTAATTGTTTTTAATTAAATCTCTACATGTCAAATGGTAATGTTGGTCAAAATTGTAAATGTAGATACGTGATATCTTGGAAAACAAAATCCTAACTTAAAAAATCAAGATAAAACATAAGAAAATAAGTCATAAGAATAAAATATGATAAAATATTCTTGTGATATTAATATGATATTATAAAAAACAAAATCTTTTATAAAAAAATAAATTATTATTGTTTATGTCATACCAAGCTTACGGTAAAACGAAATTCCAAGGAGAGAAAATCAATAATTTGCCCTAAATCAGCAAGAAGGCATTTCCATGTATTGCTCTTGCTCCTTGTCTAATAAACTTCATCAAGGGCTTGTGG